ACACAACATTTTTGTTTGTATGTGGTGCTGAGGATGGAACCCGGGCCGCACGCACGCCAGGCGAGCGCACAACCGCTTGAGCCACATCCCCAGCCCAATAACAAAATCTTAAAACAAGCAAGTGAACCTCTGTGGACTTCATTTTCCTCATTTCAAAATCAGAAAAGTAATAGCATAGGAGGTGGTCATTATTTTTAAAAGAATAATGGATAACAGAGAAGTCACTTTTAAAAAATTCATTACAGAACATCCAAAATTTCTAAGTAAATGATGGAAAGATATTTGACCATAACTTAATCTTAAAAAATAAAATTAGAATTTTAAACAGATATGTATTTTTTAAAGTATTACCAATACTTAAATTACTATTTTAGGTAAATATCAGGTATTCGAATAAGCAAAGTGTCAAGTCATTGAGTTAGGAGAGTCAAAACAAAATGCTATAATAACATAGTTCATGTTAAATTTTACATTTTCGAAAACTATATTCCAAACCTTTAAAACTTCTCCCAAGACTTTACTACTCAAATCTTTCTTTGTTTATCCATGTTTATTTTCTCCTCTCTAATTGTTAACCACCCACACTCCCAGGCCTTCATTTATCAATGGTTTTCCTGTTGACATATACTTTATGAAATTCTGCATCTTTTGCAAATTTTACTATTATGCTTTGCATTTCATTTACACAGTATATTGATGATTGTTAATTACCAAAACTAATATTAAGTGGGGAGGAGGTTTTAAGTGAAATGGCATTGGTTTTCAGTTCAGTAGTATTTTCCTATGGAGATAAATTTGGGAGTCCTTGTGCATCAGATAATCAACAGTTAGATGAAAAAGACGCCCTACCAGATTGTTGTGAGAATAAAAATGAGATTTTGCTTGGCAAGAAATCTGAATAACTGTTATTCATTTGTATTTTTAAAGATAAAAGGGGATAGGCAGAAGTCATTAGGCAGAAAGGAGAGGAGAAAGAAATAACCAAAGAGAGGAATAGCAAGAAATCAACCTAGGGAGGCAGAGAGAGGTGCTGAGTCACAAGCACGACAGATGACTAAAATCCCCAGGCCCCCAGCTGATGTTGATCTCAAGCCCACAGGCTTGCTCAGAGTTTCCTGGCTCTCCTCTCAGACTTTGTGTGATCGTGACACTACACCACTGTCTCCTGAGGTAACCTGACATGTCTGGACCCTAGAATAACCATGCACACAGTCAAATCTGTTAAGAGAAGTGGACCAGATTTGGTGCTGAGAAGACAGTGACAAAAGAAACAGTTCTTTCACTGCAAGATTTTACTGAGTCACTAAACTATTCTCTTCCTTGGTTTTTAATAAATTCCAAAGAACACTTTCTCCATCTTTACATAAAAACAAGACATAATTCCTTCATAATACTTTAAGTATATTATTAGCTCTCCACAGTTCACAAAACATTTTTGATTTCTTTTTTACAAAGCATTTTATGTCACGTCCACAAGAGGAGGGTTTAAAAACAACAAATTCTGGAAATGGCATGCAGGAACTTTCATTTTTAATAAGTTCTCATTTTTTCACTTACAAAATGAAAATCAAATTCCCATTTTACCTGCCTAGAAATGAATAATGACACATCATCTGAAGTAAGCTGTGGGTGTTGAAAAACTCTTCAATCACACATATGTCATCTCTTGGGAAATTTGATGATAGGGCTGGCTCTATTTAAAAAAAAAAAAAAATCTACAGTCAAGTCAGAGGTCTCCAAATCATAAATAGTCTTAAAGTTTAAGGGAAAATCTGTTCTTGGTAAAACACCTCAAATAAGATGCAAAAGAATTGAAACTTTTCCTACAGGTGTCAAGTTTGGACAACTTTTGAGAAAAATATTAAAAGCTTCAACTTCTAGAGGTTAAAATATTAATGTAGAATTCACTAAGATTCTATTCTTGTGCATTAGTATATTCATTATATTAGCATATTTATGGAACAGTATTTGCCTGTGAAAATTTTCTCCATTCTAAGTACCATGTATTATTCGCATTCCCGTTTTTCAGATGGAATAAACTTAATCTCAAGGAAGTTAAACCATCCATTCCTGTAACAAATTGTTTACACTTGCTATATACTGGACCAGGGCTAGTCTCTACAAACACAGAAAAAAGAGTCTAAACTTAGGTATCCACTGTCTTACAGAGGACACACAGGAGAGTGCTACATACCCCCAGAGAGGGAAGCACAGGTTTGTGGGAAAACACAGGGGAGTGAGCTCATTCCGAAGGCAGGATAGAGTAGGCATCAGAGTTTCCCCAGAGGGGAAGTGCTAGCTGAGTAGGGAAGGAGGAAGAAAGGCAGGCTGGCCTGGAAACCAAACCCTTACCTCCAAGACCAGTGAACTTCTCTCTATTATCACAGCCCCTTCATTAGATTTAGTCAACAAGCATTTTCTTATCCCCTGCTTGATAAAAAAGCATGTTCTAGGCTGAAAAAAAGTGAATAATTATAGTTCTTATTTCATGAAAGCAAAGGGAAATAAGATAAGTACACAAATAACCAATTCAAAATCTTAAGAGGCAAAAGAGAATCCAATATGAAAAATCAGGTGCTAGGCTGATTTTTACTTATTTCTCAGACTCTCCCTGTGGAAGTTACTATTTCTCAGACTCTCCCATGTGATAAGAGGTCAACAACACTGCCACAAGTTGAATTCTACCCATATGATGCCATTATAGGTATAGTTAGGTAGATATTATTCACCATATTCTTATCTGTAAATTACATTACAAATAATTTCTGCTTAACAGAAATTAAAAGGAGCGTCATCATTTGTAGATGACAAAAATTTATTATCACTATAAGCAATGTGTTTGCTTACTTTTCAAATATTTACTATCTGAAACTATTTTACGTAAGGTGTTTATGTCTCTATGCTTGAACTTTATCTTTAATTTTCATTTGAGTGCTTTTGTTTTCAGATTTTGAGGTCCGAATTATGCTTGCCTCAAAAAAAAGAAAAGAAGAAAACTTCCTGTCACTCTGTGCTTTGGAGCAATATAGAATTATAAGGCTCTTAATGACTTTATATAACTCTTCTAAAAGATTCATTGAACCCTGGTGTCACTACTCACTTAATAGCTGTGCTTCCCTGATCAGTACAGGCTCACTTTCAGAATTCTTCAACACATTACATCCCAACCATTAAATAACAAGTATACATTCACCAATTTATTTTCAATCTTGTCTTTATATTAAAATTTTCATGTGTCTGGAATTCTTTTCTGAATATGGTTTGGATCACATTCCATAGATCTTCACACATGATATCTGACTTTTAATAATTTCTAAATGGGCTTTGGTTTTATTTTTATTTCCTCTTTGATTTTAAGTCCATTTAGTACACTATCCATAAATAAAGTAAGATCTAGGGAAACATAATATGGGGGTTGCTACTATAGTTTCTAAAATAATATTTAACCCTCACTTACTGCCCTCTAAGAGCACATCCTTATTTAAACCACTTTTGTTCCAAAATGGAAACTTTTTTAGGAGAAGTTGAAGAAATCAACCACTTACTTCGGGAGAGACTCCGTGTTTACCTCATATTTACTTATTCCAGCCTGAATAGTTTTTGCTTCAGTTCAGCTCCCTGTTTCACACCAGGGAATCTTCACATTTCTCATATATCAAGGATACTTTTTCCCTCTTTTCCAGTAGTTTCACACCATCACTCCCATTTTTTCCTTTTTCTTTCTTCTTTTTTTTTTTTAACATATTTGTTTCTTTAGGTGGACTGTAGGAGAGGGAAGCAGGAAAAGAGAAGTACATAGGCTCAAGACATGACCTTAAATGAGAATCCAGAAAAAATAATTTGGGGGGGCACTGGGAATTGAATGCAGGGCCACTGAACCACTGAGCCACACCTCTAACCCTTTTTTATTTTGAGACAGGATCTCACTAAATTGCTTAGGGCCATACACAGTTGCTGAGGCTGCCCTTGAACTTGCAGTCCTCCTTCCTCAGCCTCCCAAGCCACAGGAATGCACCACTAGACTGGGCTCCAAGTGACCATATTCTTAACAAAATTTCCCAATTTGCTTTCCTTTTCTTGAACCCCCAGCTTGTTATCGAAACTAATAATTTTATGTCTTAGGATTATTAAAATAAATTTGAATTCTTTAATCTAAATAATGCAACAATACTTTCATTGGAACAGGAATCCACAGCTTAAAAGTAGTGAAACTATGAAGGAAATTATTTGCCATAATTACAAAAGACTTAAAATCATTAGGGACTGTCCTGTCCTCTAAAATCTGTAATGCATCAGGCCTTAGTCCTGACAGGAACAACAAAAAGGCAGCCTATTTATTATGGTCCAAAATATAAACTCCTTAAAAGTCTCAGAAATAAGCCATTTTTTTGTCCAACTGAGATATATAGCTTCAACCAATCTCTATCAAAATAGCAAAATGAGAGCAAATGATAATATCATGTGATTTTTTATTACTATTGTTAACATTTTTACTACATGAAATATAAGATTATCCATCCAAGTGTTCATAATATTTAAGTGGATATCCTATATGTCACCACTTAGTCAATTTCCCCCTTGATTTGGATCTGTATTAACTAGTTTTATAAAAAAAAAAAAAAGCAATGATCTATTTACAAGACGGAAGAACTAGATCTTTTAAAAACAAAAAGTAGATTCTCTCTCCTAAACTACAAATAGAAAATAGCAACTAAAAGAACAGAATATTAATTTGTAAAAAATGCAAAATTCAGGGCTAAAATGAAATCTTCTTAAAGTAACAATCAGATTTTAATTATAGACACTATGAATACTGAACCTTTGCTTCAAGTCACACTGATCCAGATGGCAGAGTTCCTGGAAAGTGGTCATTCATTCATTCATTCATACTTCCATTCATCCAGACCCTCTACAATTATCCTCCATGGGCCAGAATAATTATAAACTCAACAGTCTAGTCAGGGATATTGATAAGCAACCAAGCAACTACAATTCCTTGTGGTGATTGTAGGAATTATGAGAATTGATAGGTGTTATAACAGCATTTAACAGGACCATCTCAACCATATTTGCAGTGGAGAGAGAAAAAGTGTATAGGTAGTGTTCAAAAAGTTCATTTCAACAATACCCAAAGATGAATGAATAACAGATGATGGTGAGATGAAGAGTGGAGAAAATGGGGAAAAAGTTCAAATAGAGGAAACAGCATAAGCAAAGGGCCCGAAGGAAAAGGTATCATGGCCTGTGGAAGGAAATAGAAAATTTTAGTAGGATAAGAGGTAGCAAGGAGGGAATGATCAAAGATAAGGCTGGGAAGGCACTTGAAGGTCAGATAAAAGGGATCATGTAAATCAAACTAAGGAATTTGGAACTTAGGGGTAATATGAAGCATTAGTGATTTTAAGCAGGAAAGCAACAATGACTAGAGAACTGTATTTAAAAAAATCATGCTCGCTAAAAAATAGGTAATTGTCTAGAAAAAAATATAGAAGGTAACACGTCTTGCTTCAATTCATAAAAGAAGCAGAGAGAGGATTAGGAAAGTGGAATTGGGAGGGGAGAGAAGGAGAAGTTTATATTAAAGAAGTCAAATTAGTAAGCAGGACAGATTCAACATTGGATGGGAAGGTGACCACTCCCTACCTCCTATGTTCTGACTTAGGCTAGTGAATGGATAGTGGTGCCACTCACCAATATAAAGAACAAAGGGAAAGAAATAGGCTTAGGAGTCTAGATAGAAAATCCTGTGCTTAACAAGTGAATCTAGGCTGCTTTTGAATCATCTGATTGAATCAAGCTAGGTCAATTAGCTATAATGGTCTGAGATAAGCAGAGAGATCAGCCCAGGGATTAATCAGTGTACAAATCAAAACAGAATGTATGGTTGTGGATGCACAGAATGAACATACAGAGCAAAAAGAAGACATCTAAGCAACATCAAAATTTATGGGACTAATGAGTGTATACTACATAAGAGTATACTATATAAGGAGAGTCTCTTGTAACAGAAAGCAAATGTGATTAATCCCATAAATGCTCCTTGGCTTGGATCCGAGAGATTTATGGAGAAAATTCTGACCATGTTGCACTCAGTTCTGCTAAACTTTTAACTTCTCAGTGTCACCATCACTTGCACTTCTCCCTACCCTCCTCCAACATACACACACACTCACAAACATACTTCCTCCTTTACAAGAACAGTGTTCTTGAACACTTCTCTTTTTCAAATCTAAAAGCAGTTTGCAAACTGGAGGTGCTGTTCAAACTGTGCTGATCTTGCTGCTCATTCAGACCCCTATAACTAATCATCCCAGCTTGATTCCATAAAATGACTCAAAAGCAGTTTAGTAGGCCAGGCATGGTGGCACATGCCTGTAATCCCAACTGAAGCAGGAGGATCACAAGTTCAAGGTCATTTTAAGCAATTTAGGGAGGCTCTAAGCAATTTAGCAAGACCTTGTCTCAAAGTAAAAAATAAGGGATGGGGTTTTAGCTCAGTGGTAGAGTGCTTGCCTAGCATGTGTGAGGCACTGGGTTCGATTCTTAGCACCATGAATAAATAAGTAAAATAAAGGTCTATTGACAATTCAAAAAATTAAATTAAGAGCTGGGGATGTGGCTCAAGCGGTAGCGTGCTCGCCTGTTATGCATGCGGCCCGGGTTCAATCCTCAGCACCACATACAAAACAAAGTTGTTGTGTCTGCCGATAACTAAAAAATAAATATTAAAATTCTCTCTCTCTCTCCCTCTCTCACTCTCTCTAAAAAAAAATTAAATTAAAAGAAAAAGAAAAATTAAAAGGGCTGGGATGTTGCTCAGTGTTTTAGGCACCCCTGGGTTCAATCCCAATTAAAAAAAAAATTAGAAGAAATTTAAAAATTTTAAAAAAAAGCAATTTAGTTCAAAACTTAAACAGCAGAAAAGAACAGCAGTCTGCAAACAATGTCTTTTATGTGCTATTTGGCAAAAAGAAACCTTAAGTATTTAATAGTTAGAAGGAAGGGATATATTTGACTCTAGTAACAGCTTTACAAAGCACAGAAAGCTTCCTCCAGATGCTCCCCAGGTCTTATCACAGTCATCTGCCAGGCCAAGAAGGGATCATGGTGTTCTTCAACAGCCAGCACTTATTCACCCAACAGGTATAAAAGAAAAGATAAAGAAAATGTCAAGTTGACTGAAATTCTGGAGCACTCAATTGCTGCTGGTATTTCAGAATAAGAATCAAAGACTTATCACCTTTTGGGAATGTAGGAGGAGGAATGACTTGGTATGTTGTTCGTTGCTTCCTGGACATCAATGTTGATGTATTTGTTCAATAAAACTTTATAGTCACCAAAAGTAATTGGAAAAAAAAGCATATGTTATGGTTTAAATATAAGATATCTCCCAAAAGTTTCTGTTAATGCAGGAACATTCAGAGGTAACATCATTAGATCATGAAAGCTATAACCTAATCAGTCCGTGGACAGTTTGAATGGACTGACTGGATTGTAACTGTAGGCAGGTGGGGCAGGGCTAGAGGTGGTGAGTCACTGGGGCATTCCCTGGAAGGGTTGCTCTTCCTGAGATCTCTGCACCCTCCCTTTTTCTCTCTCTCTCCCTTCCCTTACCTCCTTCCTGACCCTGCCATAAACTGAAAGATTTCCTCCAGTGGGCCCTTCCCTCATAATCTGCCTTAACTTGGGCCAGAGCAACTAAGTTAGCCATCTATGGACTGAAATGTCTGAAACTGTGATCCCCAAATAAACTTTTCATCTAAGTTTTCTTGTCCACAGCAACTCAAAAGCTGACTAAAACAGTATCATAGTCCTGCCAAACTTGAAGTATTCATACCAATTTGAGCCTCACCAGATTCAGTAGATGGATTCTATTTACACATTTCCTCTTCTTCACAGGGGGAAATGGAGGCCTTTGGCTATGAAGAGCTCCCCTGAAATCCTGCAGTCACTCAGCACTATCCCTGTTCCCACTGAATATCATGTGCTATGGAGAATTTCTCCTCACCCGGTCAGTGGAGTTCAGTAATTTTGGAATATACTTTTAGTCATGTCCGGGTTGATGTTCACTAGGATTTCACCTCTCTCAGCTCATATGTCTCAACTTTTTTTCACCGTGGCTGATGAAGTGAGCTACATACAGAAGAAATGAGTGCTTCTATCACAACTCTTACTCTTCATTCCAATTCCATGAAATCTAGAGTCCCTCTGAAGAACATGACTTAATGAAAAGGCAACCAAATAAGATATTGACATGTCATAATAAGTGTGAACTTTTGAAAATCAAATCATCAGATAACTGTTCTCCAATGGCTTTCTTAGACCTCTGCCATTACATGGAAAGGAAGACCAGTTTTCCCACAGACTGTAGGATAAGGATGAGAACTATGTGGGGCAGAGCAAGGCATGGAGATGCACCAGCCCATATCAGCTGATCTCAACACACATGGGAAAGCCCAGCCAAAGCCTGCAGAGCCAGCTTCACTCAGCCCAGATTGGCCAATCCCCAGCCTGTCCCAAGATACATCAGTGATCCCAGTCCACACAAAACCGGGATCCCCCAGCTAACTCAGAAACTCACTGTCAACAAGATTAACTTGTTAACAGAACTGGACAAAGTTTGGGACCCCCTCACCTAGGGATCAACCTTTGTGAGAGAAGTTACATCCAAAATCTACTACCTCCAGAGATGTTCATTCTGAACAGAAGCACCCAGAAGGGCTTCTTATAATCAAACCTTTCAATACATGCAAAATAGTTGA